AAAAGCACATGCAAGCTGCAAGAGCAGTTGGTGAAATTGGAGTAGTGCAACTGCATCTAATCCATTCCATAATGAGGGAATAAATAGTAACTTTGATGTAAGCAGAATGATGCCTATACACCTCCTGTCCATCCCTCCCTCTAGAAACTCTTCACAACATCTTTTAACAGTTGACTAAACCTTTCCTTGATATAATTCTGCTTTACTGTCCAGGGTCGCTGCAGCCTTACACCATGAATTTCTTGAACTGGACTACTTTCTTCTTCCTTGTGATGCAATCTTTACTTTTCAAGCGAGAACTAATGCTGAAGTTTTACTTTGTTGACATCTCGCAATGTGGCGTAAGCAGTTTTGTCCTTCATACGGAGATACACACGGGAATATGTCACCCATCTCGCTGATGTTAACAGAATTTTAGGCAAATTTTTGACTTCTCGATTTGGTAGCTACTCATTTCCAAGAGCGCTCATCAGGGCTTCAATAGGCTAAGAGCTTTCCAGTTCTAAGGCTCCCGCCAGAGTGCCGAAGTTATGCCAGCGCTACTCCAGCATTTCGATCGATACACGTGTATTTTGTTGGGGCGGGGCTAGCTGACGTCCCCAACGAAATACTCGTGTATCGATCGAAATGCTGGCGTAGCGCTGGCATAACTTCGGCACTCTGGCGGGAGCCTAACCACGGCTCGGCACAGGTGGCTTGTAAGTCAACTGGTATCGTTTTTTGGGACGAAAAGCAAAGGGGGTTTCGTTTTTGTGACCGAAGAGACACGGAAAATTGGCGACGGCAACCCTTCTTTTTTAGTCGACGTTTCGTTTTTTGGGGGATTTTGGGGAATTTAAAGGTTTTTAGAGGAAATTTGGTTGAAGGTCAAAGGGGACTTCGTAAAAATTCCCAAAAGTCAAGGGGGACTTCGTTTTTTCCATTTTCATCTAGCCACCTCGTGCCGAGCCCTGGTTCTAACTGGAAAATATTTCTCTCTCATTTATAAAATTCTTCTACGACAAAATTGCAGGTCGTATTGAAAAAGACTGTTATCACCTTTGAAGACTCGACGTGTTTCCTTCATTGCAGCAACTTTTACCGAAGTGTAAAAATCACAAACCTCTGGTAAAAAAATGCAGCTACTGACAGAGTAGGCCATGGTCCCCCAAAATAACCATATTCTCGGGGATTCTGCCAAATTGTGTGGCGTGACAAATCAGAAGCAATTTGGAATATCCGCTTTGCATGAGATACAGCCCATTACAAGCTGCTCCACGCATCCTGTCATTGATCTCATTGTTAAACGATCTTGTTGTTACTTCCTACTAATCCTACGTTAGACCGGGGGTTGAACAACTGCAATAATTCTTCGCCTAATTTGAATATAACGTTCGTAACAAGCGCAGATTTATCGCCTAATAGCCGAATAAGCTTCGCAAATCCCGAAGAAAAATGACCCTGTCTGTTTTGAATTTTTGGCGGCAGCCTGTTTGGTAACAGTCGGTGGGTCCTCATATCTACCTGAATCTGTCACATTTCTCTGCATCATGTGTACTCCTAACTATTACTCTCGCGCCAGCCCTGCTTTCTATTTTGTTTTGGCAACTCGCTAAGGCCATCAAAATAAGTGGATGACGGGAAAACAAAGGAAAGGTCTGCTGAAGCTCAAAACTGCCCACGATTGTTTTCCTGCCAAAGCAGTCTAACGCGTCGACGATTTTCATAGTTGGATTCCACTAAGCAGTAAAACACATATGGCCTCAATAACCTAGACTCATAAACGGTGGGTATGTGCTCAAGTGAGGGGAAATCCCTTCAGATTCACTTTGATGTGACTTTGTTCAACTTCAGATACTGTTTTTAAGGACGTAAGAAACTACGAGGGTCTCTCAGATAACAATCTTCCAAATGCTCAAGATGGCCGTTATTAGGAACAGCTGCTTGAAATTTTCAATGGCCACAGCTGGTTCTACTGCTTATCAGTCATGTATACTTTAGTCTGCCAGTAGAAAGTTTGCTGATACCGTAGATGCAGGCTTGTTCGGAAGCCTCCAGCCTCTTCTCCTTCTTTGGAACCTAGTAATCTCAAAGTATGATTGAAAACATTTCTACTTTCATTTGAGATTTCTCACATATTATTGCTGGGTCGTGTACACGCTCATAAACAGCAATTTTGCAATTTTCACTTTCATAGCTGCTGAATCGTCCTTACTGGGTGTTGAGCGCCAACGTTTTTTCTCTCATAAAGTTGCGAATTGAGCCGTTGCGCGGTGTCTCATTAACGATAATAGAAGCAGCGAAGCTTTGAAAGCAGTGAGCGTGAATTTAAATAGATGATAGAAGTAATGGCCGTGTCGCACTTCAATGGTGCTCAAAGTTTTTATTTATTCTTGTAAAGTCGTTAGTCTTTGCTCCGTGGCCGCTAAATGAATTTTCTAGCCATGAGTTTCTGTTCTTGTTTTTCACGTCCATGATTTTTTCCTGCAAATTTGATAGTTGCTACTGGTTTCAATAAACGTGAGTTTTTCCATAGGGTATTTACTAAAAAAATTATCTGCTTAAACTTGACACTGTCAGTATAGTACAGTAGTAGCGCAGCTCAGCAGGTGTCGACAAGGTTCTGCTTTCTTGTCAAATCATCTTCCCAATTTGGGACTCGACATTAAGCTCAGAGAATTGATATACATCTGTCCATAGATGGGCGAAAGCATAGCACTAAAACATCTCATTTCGATATTCGCTGCTTCCCTACAACTCCTAATGTTACATATGTGAGCAAAATAACTCAAGCTCCTTCAGTTTATTTTAGTTCAGTTTCTGCACAGCTGCCCCATCTGCTTCGCTCATTTAGCTCTCAGCCATTGTTTTGGATGATTAATAGCAGCAAACTCCTCAGAAAAAATATCCAAATGTACAATTGCTATCTTTTTTGGTTCATGCTTCACAACAAATTGATCTTGAGCAGGGTCATTCTCTTCTGCAATGATTCTCGAGAACTTCGAAGTATTTTCGCCTAGTCCTTCAAGCTGTATTGCAGCCTTGCAATGGTTCGAAGCAAATGTTTGTCTTACATTTGTAATACATGTAATCCCTTTCTTATCCATTCTTGGACACTATATTATAATTCAATTTAGTATAGGTAAAGACGAGCTCAAATATCACTCGTGTTTTGTTTGCTAGATATGCTAAATGTCCAAAACCTCCAATTTTACTAATGCTCTGGGATGGGCGGAGGACATTAGGTCGCCGATAGGCTCCACCCTCGCGGACAGCTAGCAGAGCAGTAATGGTGAGGGGGCGTGATTTGTTCCAGTCCACGTTGGACCTCCCCTTGCAGTGACCAAATGTTCTCTATCCCTTTGGGTTTTCAACCTAATCCCTCAGTGAAGCGATCGGAATTTTCGATTTTTTTTGAATTTTGAGTATGTCCAAAAGAAATTTTCTGATGTGCTATAAATTACCATAATACAAAACACCTTTTAGGTAGTCTCCATTAATGGACGAAAAGGCTTGGCATAATGCCATTTTCTTGTCTGAGCTGAATGCTAAAGCGTTAAGATCTGAAACTCTTGACCCGCTCTATCGCGCCATCAAGACATTCCTCAGAAGGGATGCTTTGACAGACAGAGATAGATTACATGGAATTGTAGAAGATAGACAAGATAACAATCTGGCGATGCTTTAACTTCGGTTGCCCTAACACGATTTTACAATGGATTTATATCTACAAGTGAGCTATTGATATCTAGCATCTCTTGTAGTGTTTATTTTATTCCACAAATAGCTCATATTTTCCCATAGGAAACTTTCGAACAATTTGCGAGGCCTCAGTCAGTGATGCCTGTGACTCCTTACATTTCCGTTAAGGATTCACAACTCCGCAATGACCTCGGAATTCTCGGTATTCCTAAGGCTGCGTTCATACTGATCTCGAAGTCCGGGAACAGGTGCAGCACAGCGCTTAGTCAGAGCACTGTACTAGAACTGTTCCCGGATTTCGGGATCAGTATGAACGCAGCCTAATTATGCATCGCAGGTAATCCTATTTGCTTAAGTCTACAAAGACCTTGAGAAAGATGTTTTGAAGACAGTGTGAGTATGTTCCGCTGGTCAACACCTCCATCCCCTTTCTATAGCTAATTTCATTATTTTTGATTTCTTGACAAAGAGAAATCCTCTTGTAGGCGCCGTATGTAGTTAAGTAATCTGTAGAAACTTCAACTGTTATTGAACTTCCCTTTATACAAATCCGTTCACTCTTAATGTTCACAGAGCAATTGTCACATCGTTATAAACTTGGGCTCCTTTTCGCTATCGCTTTCCAAGCAAAGAGAGCTAATTTCTCTTGATTGACACCTTTCAGTGTCGCGTGTGTAGTTTTGTCACTCAAACGAGATACACACAAGGATAAGTCAGTCACACATTCTAAGTGATGTGATGAAAGTCTCTGTCACTTGCTCGTCAAGTCGTATAAATACCGCTGTTTTGTTGCAGATTGCTCCGTTCGAACGGTAAAAAATATCAGCTTTTAAAAGTCATTCCGTGGTCTCTAGAACCTTCTTTCGGCAGTCCCCGCGCATTCGTTTACTAAACGATACTATGGTTGGTCTGCCCCATAATTTCCATGCGCTCACTCTATTCATATTCATACCGACGTCCTTAACAAATCGAGGTTAACTGCCACCACTTTCCGTTTGCTCGTCGGTCAGTTCGAACATATGTTGTTCATATTCGCTACTTTGAGAGGTTCGACTGTATTTGGTGCAGGCCCTCAACAAGGGAGTAAAAAAATCAAGCAAAGCGTATCCATCACTTTCATTAGCATTTATATTATGAATGCATATCTAGCGCAATCATCGAGACTATTTGATAGAAAATTCTATGCGCTAAACGGATTTTTTGAGCTTATTAATCTCTTTTTTTTCGTTTCTCACGTCCACTATTTTTCTGCAAATCCAATAGCCGCTGCTGGTCTCGTTAAACGCGATTTATTTTGACAGGGTTCTTTATTAGAAAAAATGTCGGCGGCGACAAGGAGTGCCAGTAGTGCGGGGCAGCCTGGCAGGTGTCGATGGGCATCTACTTCAATTTATTTTTCACATGAGGAATTCGTGGTATCTTTTGTTTTATCCTGGTGATCGCTCACTTTCCTGCTTTTTCTTCCCATATTAATTTTCGTACAGCTGCCTGTCTGCTTCGCTCATTCAATACCCAGCCTATGTTCTGTATAATTAATGGCTGCAAGCCTCTAAAAGAAACATCTCAGAGTGTAATGCACTTCGAGAGAACATATTTGTCCTCTTTCTTTTCCTCAGCATATTTTCGCTTCTCTAAACCGTATACCATTGATATCACATTGCTTTTAATTTTAAAAAGAGCCACTTTATCTGCTGTGCCTCTCCTGTGAGCCTTTGAAGCAATCATCGCCTAGTAGCCTAAACCCATTTGTCAAATCCGCTTTCGCCACAATTCAATTTCTTAGAGATGAAGGCGCTGCTATGAAATTTCAGAACAGAATCCGTTCTGCTCCCGTACAATGTTGCAGCTTGCAGTATCCGATTTGGGCTAGAAAACGGTGGAAGCCAATGTGAACAATAGCTTGTACAAGTCGTATTTGTCGTAGATCAAATTTTTCTGGAGTTTTCATCTACTATATCAACTCATTCAAGAATTACACTAAAAGCTTAACAAGCCATAAATCTTGATTTTCGACGCCATTTTCAAATCAACGAAGAACAGACTATTCAGTTCAACTCAAAAGGATGTTATCTCTAGAGTAGTTCTTCATTGCTCTATATATTTTTTGGTAAACAAGAAGAGATGAGCACGTCGACCAAGAGTAGATTAACTTAATGATTATTTCCCGAAACCTCAGGGACTCTCAAATGTTTCAATCGCGGTATAGCTTCGTGCGATAATTCATGCTATTCTGCCTGTCAGGACATTTTTCAGGAGAAGCATTGCAGCAGACAGCGATGGATTTCATGGAGTTGCAGAAGATAACAGTCTGGATGTGTTTCAGGTTTCGTCATGGCTGACTTGGAAACAGCGTGATGAGTTTTGATCTTTTATGAGTTGTTGGGCTGTGGAGGAGGAGATCTTATATTTTTATGCCTACCATCCCATATACTGTTCACTATAAGCCTTCCTTTGATACAAAACTTTCGAACAAATCGAGAATTTTAAGTTAGATTCCTTACATATCTGCTGAGGATTTACACATCCGTAATGACCTTGTTCCTCTATTTCTAATTATGCATCGCAAGTAATCCTATCTGCCTAAGTCGACAACCTTGGGGAAGATGTTTTGGTGATATACAGCATAGCGAGAATGCACTGCTAACCATTTAGCTCATTTCCTGATTGACTGCTTCCTCAGTTTTGTTTGGTTGCTCATGAGGAGATAGCTCTTGTAAGACCTGTAATGGTGTAATCAAGTGGTCAAAGAAAATCTCGATTGAGCACGATTGAAATTGCGCACACAAATCTGCAATCCGCATATTTTCACAGAGCAACTGTCACATCGCAGTGAAGCAATTTCTTTGTCTTTAACAGCTTTCGTATTATTTTTCAAGCGAAGAGCGCCAAAATGCTGTGTGATTGACATCTTTCAGTGTCGCATATGTAGTTTTGTCACTCAAACGAGACACCCACAAGGATAAGTCAGTCACACATTCTAACTGATGTGATGAAAGCCTCTGTCACGTCGCCCGGCTTCAAAAGTCTTGCGCTGTAAATCCTGCAGCGTTCGACACAATGCATATGGGGTTTGACAATGCTAGGCCTGCTCTTGGCACAAGGCACTGTATTGCTCCAAAAACCTCAAAATTCGGTCCGAGCTAGCGCTTTAAAAGGGCCGCCCTTCCGTGGTTTGTCGGTTAGGTATGTAAACAATCTGATATAATTAACTTTATCATCCTCCTTTGATGCAAAACTCCTAAAGTTTTTCTTTCTTCTCCTCTTCTATGCTTGCAATGAAATCCACAAAGAGACATGCAAAAATCATGCAAAAAACATTTGAACTCGTGCACGAAAAAAAGGATAGATCAGCGACGGCATCAAAAACATTTCGATGGTCTAGTACTTGAAGTTAGTGGCTCTTCAAAGCAAACTGTAATGATAGTCAGAGCCTGCCGATAATCGCAGCTCCTCTAGAATTTTTTAAGATGCTTGGCGTGACAAACCCGCAGCAATTTTACACTTCCGCTTAGTATGAGATACATCATTACAACCTACTTTACTTATCTTGTCGTTCATCTTATGTTAGATGTTTCTAGAGATGTTCAAGCAGAGCACTTTATTGTTAGAAATAAGGAAAATGTAATATTATTTCCGTGACTTGAAAGTTTGTTACAGCCACTACCATGCAGATTCATTGTCTACAATCGTCATATTCACGAAAAAAAACCATTCGTTTGATTTTTAGGCAGGCAGATATACGGTATAACTTTACAAATGATAAGTTTCGGCTCAGCTTTAGTTTCTTGTTATTTAGCCTTCATCATCCAACGTTACGCAAAGGACAATAATCTTTTATCTTGGTATTTTTCATTATTAGGCTTTAGGTACTTGTAAAATTCGTATCCAACTGGGCAGTAAAATTTCAGTATCGCCAGTGTGGTTATCTTTCTGGAGCAACAATAGCATTCTGCTTCGAAACGGCGAGTGTTTGACCCTATTTCTATGTAATCAATTCAAAGTACTATGAAGAAAGTTTTGAATTTTCTCCTTTCCTTAGAGTGTACATATTGAGTACCACTTGCGCGCCAGTTCCGCTTTTCCTTTGTTTTCAACGCTAGCCATTGAAATAAGTGGATGGCAAAGAAACAAAGGCTAGATTCCATTAAAGGCTCAAAATTAGTTCGGATGCTGCTGTTAAGTGTCCAAATATACAAAGAGCTGTTGTTTGGAGGTGCAGACATTACATTTCACTTTTTTTCTGAAATTGATGTTTTTTGTAGCGTCTAGCAAGCTTTCATAAATGTTCCTTGAAAGAAGAGTAGGCGATGTAAGACAATATTCTTTGCTATATTACTCGAGTCACACCATCTTTATCAGCTGGGCCGTTCCCCTTTATTAGCGTCACTAATCTCAGAAACTCTGGCAAGGTCTAGGTTACCGCGCGTCAGCCCCTCATTTACGCGAAGATGATGATCTAATAAGCATCGAAACAACCCGCGCTCATCCATTCACGCATGATTTTAGTCTACTTGGATTGTCTCATAATCTTCCAAGAATCACCTGTTGGTCTCGAGAAGATTATTCATTACTGTGCTGGCATTGGTCCTCTAGAGTGGCTCTTTCTTTTGGATCGTGAACTGAAATTGAGATGGATCTGAGAAAAAGTTTGAGATGCATTACAAGGTTGTCCTTGGTATTGTTGCGCACTCAGTCAAGAAATGCGAGCTCAGCAGATTCTGTCGTATGTATGAGACTTTCAAAATGTACTTGTCTTTCCGTAACTTGCCGAATCGTCCTTACTCGTTTTTTTCACGTTTTTTTCAATTGTTTATTCAATGCGGATTGTTGAAATGCAGAGTCCTGTCTTATCAACTACAATGAAAGAGAAGCCCTTACTGCTAATGATGTTCATAATAGGGGAAAAGCTATTGGCTCTTTCGCTGTCTCGTAATGTTTTTTACTCTGTTCGCTCTTTTAAAGATGACATGGTCGATACATATACTATACTGATAAGGAAAATCACAGCTGTACTTGTTGACTCTTGCGCTCTGATTGGTCATCATTGTTTTTTCTGCGATTACGCGCCTTCCTGCTTTTCAACCTCCTGGGAAAAAGATTTCAGTGTTTTTGAAGCTTTGCCGTTTATGCACTGGCAGTAAAAAGTAAACTTCGCGAATAGCTGGTCTCATGAAGAGAATCATGGAATAGTTTGCTTCGTGAAAGTGTATTAGCGTTAAGGTTGATAGTTTGAAGTAGATACTCTATCTAAATACGAAGACATGTAGTAAAATGTAGTAAAATATCAAAAATTGAATTTCTTTGCCATATTCTTTAGTAAAGCAAGAACTGTTTTTTGGAAGGTTCTTGCTGTTGCGGAGGGCCTAATATTTCCCATATTAGACCCTTCTTGCGGAGGGCGCAATACGCGAACAATATTAAATGGTGTTGAAAGAGTTTGGAAAGTATTTTTATGAGCATCTGCTTACAAAATGTTAACAAACTTTGCTATAGATAGTCCTCCAACTACACTGGAATAACAAGCATTTGTTTTTGAGCACCTTTTTTGGCTCGCATACAGGGCCCGGCAGGAGGTGGCATCAGAATTTTGAAAACGACATCCCCTTTGAAGCCAAAATTTCTTACGACTTCCCCTTTGACCCTATTTTTGACCCCTGTAACTCCCTGACAAACAGATATACACAAATAATAAGATGGGCGGCCTCAGCGCTTATTATAGTAGTACTACCTGGCCTTCCTGGTCCAGCCCGGGTCATCGTTTGAGGGAATGGCCAAAAACCACACTTTGTTCTTCTACCTTCCCGTCCTTTTGAGCCAATCTCCACCCCTTTTCTGCAGTATCAATACTGCACTGCAGCCCTCCCCCTTACCTTCCTGCACGAGCTTACCCCAGAAAGGCTTATTGGAGTGACTGCACCTCCTAATTTTAAAGTGGAAATGAACAGACAGTTTGTTAGCGGCTGGTAAGTGTTCACTTTCCTTGCAAGGTGCCAAAAATCATTAAATCGATAGAAGAATTCCACGAATTGCTTCGAAGGTTGGCTTAAAACCATCTACCGAGGCCAAAAACATATGTATCTAAGGTTTCAGCTCAATGGGTTCATCCGCAAAGGAATCTATAAAAAAACATAGGGTCAAGATTTGCACAAACTTTTGACGTTTATATATCTAAGATACTACTCATTTTTTATTTGAGGCTGTATCGAAGCGGTGCCCTGGTGGTTCTGGAAGCGGATTTGAACATATATGATACTCTCGACCTAGTCCACATTTATGTGAAGAAATCCGGGAAATTATGTGAAGGGAAGCAGGGAGCCACCCCAGGGCTCCCAGGTGGCGCGGGAGCCACCTAATTTCGAAAAACACTTACCATTCTTTAAATTCACATAAGTTTCTCATAATTCTTCATACTTTT